TTGATTATTAATGACAACAACATGGGAGATAAATGTGTAAAATATTTTAGCGAAGCTTTGACAAGTGAGAATTGTAAACTTACTGAATTGTCTCTTAGTCGTAACGAAATAGCAGCTGGAGGTGCAAAGTATCTTAGTGAAGCTTTAAAAAGTGACACTTGTAAACTTACTGAATTGGATCTTTCTCATAACAATATAGGTGAAGAAGGTGCAAAATCTCTTAGTGAAGCTTTAAATTGTAAGAATTGTAAACTTACTAAATTAATTATCAATGGTAACAAGATAGATGATGAGGGTGCAAACTATCTTAGTGACGCTTTAAAAAGTGAGAATTGTAAACTTACTGAATTGTCTCTTGATAGTAACAAGATAGGTGATGGAGGTGCAAAATCTCTTAGTGAAGCTTTGAAAAGTGAGAATTGTAAACTTACTGAATTGGATCTTGATAGTAACAATATAGGTGATGAAGGTGCAAAATCTCTTAGTGAAGCTTTGAAAAGTGAGAATTGTAAACTTACAGAATTGGATCTTTCTCATAACAATATAGGTGATGGAGGTGCAAAGTCTCTTAGTGAAGCTTTGAAAAGTGAGAATTGTAAACTTACTGAATTGTCTCTTGATAGTAACAAGATAGGTGATGGAGGTGCAAAATCTCTTAGTGAAGCTTTGAAAAGTGAGAATTGTAAACTTACTGAATTGGATCTTTCTTATAACAAGATAGGTGATGGAGGTGCAAAATCTCTTAGTGAAGCTTTGAAAAGTAAGAATTGTAAACTTACTGAATTGTCTCTTGATAGTAACAAAATAGGTGATGAAGGTGCAAAATCTCTTAGTGAAGCTTTGAAAAGTGAGAATTGTCAACTTACTGAAGTGGATCTTTCTTATAACAACGTAGGTGATAAAGGTGCAAAATATCTTAGTGAAGCTTTGAAAAGTGAGAATTGTAAAGTTACTGAATTGAATCTTAGAGGTAACAATATAGGTGACGAAGGTGCAAAATCTCTTAGTAAAGCTTTGAAAAGTGAGAATTGTATACTTACTGAATTGTCTCTTAATAGTAACAAGATAGGTGATGGATGTGCAAATTCTCTTAGTGAAGCTTTGAAAAGTAAGAATTGTAAACTTACGGAATTGTCTCTTGATAGTAACAAGATAGGTGATGGAGGTGCAAAATCTCTTAGTGAAGCTTTGAAAAGTAAGAATTGTAAACTTACTGAATTGTCTCTTTCTCATAACAAGATAGGTGATGGAGGTGCAAAATCTCTTAGTGAAGCTTTGAAAAGTAAGAATTGTAAACTTACTGAATTGGATCTTTATAGTAACAAGATAGGTGATGAAGGTGCAAAATCTCTTTGTGATGCTTTGAAAAGTGAGAACTGTAAGCTTACTGAATTGGATCTTTCTTATTACAACATAGGTGATGGAGGTGCAAAATCTCTTAGTGAAGCTTTGAAAAGTAAGAATTGTAAACTTACTGAATTGGATCTTTCTCATAACAATATAGGTGATGAAGGTGCAAAATCTCTTAGTGAAGCTTTGAAAAGTGAGAATTGTAAACTTACTTAATTGTCTCTTTCTATAACAATATAGGTGATGAAGGTGCAAAATCTCTTAGTGAAGCTTTAAAAAGTAAGAATTGTAAACTTAGTAAATTGTCTCTTGATTGTAACAAGATAGGTGATGAAGGTGCAAAATCTCTTAGTGAAGCTTTGAAAAGTAAGAATTGTAAACTTACTGAATTGTCTCTTGATCATAACAAGATAGGTGATGAAGGTGCAAAATCTCTTAGTGAAGATTTGAAAAGTGAGAATTGTAATTTTACGGAATTGTCTCTTTATCATAACAAGATAGGTGATGGAGGTGCAAAATCGCTTAGTGAAGCTTTGAATAGTGAGAATTGTAAGCTTACTGAATTGGATCTTTCTCATAACAAGATAGGTGATGGAGGCTCAAATTCTCTTAGTGAATCTTTGAAAATTGAGAATTGTAAACTTACTGAATTGGATCTTTCTCATAACAATATAGGTGATGGAGGTGCAAAATCTTTTAGTGAAGTTTTGAAAAGTGAGAATTGTAAACTTACTGAATTGTCTTTCTCATAACAATATAGGTGATGTAGGTGCAAAATCTCTTAGTGAAGCTTTGAAAAGTGAGAATTGTAAACTTACTGAATTGCTTCTTTCATATAGCAATATAGGTGACGAAGGTGCAAAATCTCTTAGTGAAGCTTTGAAAAGTGAGAATTGTAAACTTACTGAATTGTCTCTTTATATAACAATAGGTGATGAAGGTGCAAAATCTCTTAGTGAAGCTTTGAAAAGTGAGAATTGTAAACTTACTGAATTGTCTCTTATAGTAACAAGATAGGTGATGAGGTGCAAAATCTCTTAGTGAAGCTTTGAAAAGTGAGAATTGTAAACTTAGTAAATTGTCTCTTTCTGATAACAATATAGGTGTTGGAGGTGCAAAATCTCTTAGAGAAGCTTTGAAAAATGAGAATTGTAAGCTTACTGAATTGAATCTTTCAAGTAACAATATAGGTGATGAAGGTGCAAAATCTCTTAGTGAATCTTTGAAAATTGAGAATTGTAAGCTTACTGAATTGAATCTTTCAAGTAACAATATAGGTGATGAAGGTGCAAAATCTTTTAGTGAAGTTTTGAAAAGTGAGAATTGTAAACTTACTGAATTGTTTCTTTCATATAGCAATATAGGTGACGAAGGTGCAAAATCTCTTAGTGAAGCTTTGAAAAGTAAGAATTGTAAACTTACTGAATTGCTTCTTTCATATAGCAATATAGGTGACGAAGGTGCAAAATCTCTTAGTGAAGCTTTGAAAAGTGAGAATTGTAAGCTTACTAAATTGTATCTTTATATTAACAATATTGGTGATGAAGGTGCAAAATCTCTTAGTGAAGCTTTGAAAAGTGAGAATTGTAAACTTACTGAATTGAATCTTAGAGGTAACAATATAGGTGACGAAGGTGCAAAATCTCTTAGTGAAGCTTTGAAAAGTGAGAATTGTAAACTTAGTAAATTGTCTCTTTCTGATAACAATATAGGTGATGGAGGTGCAAAATCTCTTAGTGAAGCTTTGAAAAGTGAGAATTGTAAACTTACTGAATTGGATCTTTCTTCTAACAAGATAGGTGATGGAGGTGCAAAATCTCTTAGTGAAGCTTTGAAAAGTGAGAATTGTAAACTTACTGAATTGGGTCTTTCTCATAACAATATAGGTGATGGAGGTGCAAAATCTCTTAGTGAAGCTTTGAAAAGTGAGAATTGTAAACTTACTGAATTGTCTCTTTCTCTTAACAAGATAGGTGATGGAGGTGCAAAATCTCTTAGTGAAGCTTTGAAAAGTGAGAATTGTAAACTTACTGAATTGGATCTTTCTCATAACAATATAGGTGATGGAGGTGCAAAATCTCTTAGTGAAGCTTTGAAAAGTGAGAATTGTAAACTTACTGAATTGTCTCTTTCTCATAACAATATAGGTGATGGAGGTGCAAAATCTCTTAGTGAAGCTTTGAAAAGTGAGAATTGTAAACTTACTGAATTGGATCTTTCTTCTAACAAGATAGGTGATGGAGGTGCAAAATCTCTTAGTGAAGCTTTGAAAAGTGAGAATTGTAAACTTACTGAATTGGATCTTTCTCATAACAATATAGGTGATGAAGGTGCAAAATCTCTTAGTGAAGCTTTGAAAAGTGAGAATTGTAAACTTACTGAATTGTCTCTTTATAGTAACAAGATAGGTGATGAAGGTGCAAAATATCTTAGTGAAGCTTTGAAAAGTGAGAATTGTAAACTTACTGAATTGTGTCTTTATCATAACAATATAGGTGACGAAGGTGCAAAATATCTTAGTGAAGCTTTGCAAAGTGAGAATTGTAAACTTACTGACATTATATATATGCTTTAACCATATATAATATAAATTAATTTTCTAATTACATTAAACATGTTTAAAGAATATATATTTGACCTCACAGTGTAAACAGCCAGTAGTCATGTTTTGATAAAGTTAATTGAATTTTCCTGTTTTTTTGCGTGTAAAAAGCACCTTTCTTCTTATCAATTTATGGTCTTTTGCTAGCATGCTTTTAATACTGAATCATAGTACTGCCTAAATAACATTTTAATCAAATTATTTGACACATTGTTACAGCGACGGAAATGTGTTCTTTTTTTTTGTTTGTTTGTATCAATTTGCTGTCTTTTGGCCGGCATGCTGTCCTTGCAGAATTAGTGCTCTACAACAGGGGTCTCCAAACTTTACATCCAGAGGGCCACATGTACTTTCATCCAGCATGTTGAGGGCCGAAGAATATGAAAAATTTCCACGTTATCCTTCAACTTTTTAAATTTCGCAATGTGCTTGGAACGTATGTAGGAAGTTGGGAGAAAAATTGACGTAAGCCACTCTTGCTAGTTGGCTTCCGACATAACGTAAACTTTCTGCACAAAGTTTATTTTGTTTAATAATATTATTATTTTCTTAAGTGTCTCTCCTGGCCGGATTGAGAGGCCCAACCAGCTGCATCTGTCCCGTGGGCCTTAGGTTGGAGACCCCTGCTCTACAAGTATGAAAACAAATTTAAAAACTACTGATAATGTTTCTGAAGTTTCTTTTTAAGATTTTTTGCAGAAGCAAATGTCCACCAGGACATATAGATACATGTTAAATAAATAGATGTTTTCAATCAGAATTAACTGAATATCATACCGAACGTGTTTGTCTCAGAGACGTGGCTAGCATGCAAGTTTATTTTTGCAATGTTCATTCTAAAATCTGTTCACTTTGGAAATCTTCTGGTTAGCAGGATGTTTAAAAGAACGTGTTTTTTGGCAAAACTAAATAATCATGCTGGTTATGTCAATGTGACATCAGGTTTTATTTACCTGAAGATTGGCAAGCGACAATCGGTAACATAGTAATCCCTGAAAAGGCAGTAAAAACATTATATGCATTGACCTTTGTGTTACGTTTTTGCCAGTAAATGATTAACAGAATTAAAGCATAATGAAGTGTATGTAGCAATGTATTTTATTGCAAATCTCAAGTATTTGCAGTGTTAAAAAATAGTAAATTTCTATAAGTTGTCAAAACTACGATAGTTGCTGCAAACCACGGGAAGTCAACAAACAATTAATAATGTTCATAAATAAAGTTATAAATAAAATTTCATAATTATTGAGTACAGGTCTCATCTTTTCTTCACATTACTTATGATCACATGCCATATCAACCACTCAATCGTCTTGACACTTTTCAGCCTTTGTCACTAAAGAAGCTTATTTTTTCTAAAAGTATTGAGGCAGATTCGTACGGCATAGGTGAGTAAAACTGTTTCTTAAATTTATTGATTATAACAGTGGAGATATTTTGCGTGCGCAAAAAGTGTTCCTGAAGTGTTTTTTATTCTTAAATATCTCGCAATTAACTTCAGAAATTAAATTAAAGTAATAACGCCATTGAATAATTTAATAAAATCTAACATATTTTTAATGGTACATAAATTTCATTGCTTGGACGTTTTTTTGTTTGTAAACGAAGACAAAGACAATTATTATGCGATCCTACAGCATCTGCATATCAATTTTATTAACTAGATTTGTATTGTTTTAGTTATCATGAAACAAAGTCTTTACTAAAGTCATTCGATTTTCTTTTTTCTGTTTGCAGACCAAACTTCGACCTTTCACAAAAATTATCAGTACAGTTTTTAAAATTCAAACGACTCACTCTATGTACAAACATATTTTGCAACTTGGTCACGTGCCAGTTTGCTTGTTGTAACTCATATTGAATATTTATTAATCTGAATGGACAGACTCATCACCCAAGATTTACAGCGTTTAACTTATATTTCTGGAATTCTTATTTCCACCAAATCAGCATGTGCTTAATTTTGACAAAGAACTACAAGATATATGTGGCACATTCAACGAGTTTTTCAGTATTTCAACAAGAGTACTTTAGCATTGTAATCATGACTTCATCTGTTTACTTCATGCTTAAATCACTATAAATTTTGTGGTAAAATCAGGCAAAGTTCAATTATGTTTATTTCTCCTTAAAGAACGTGTTGGTTTATAATAGCATTTGAGATACTAATTTTTTTTGCACATAAACGGTTTGAAAAATATAATTATAATTTTTTCCGATCGACAAAACCTTTGATGTATTACAAAAGTCTTTGTATTAAGAGTTATTTATATTAAAAAATTTCACATAAATTTGTGTCGTATAAAAACCTGCTGCGCAGAACCGATTAACATTAGTTTGATAATCATTGGATATGTATAGCAACAAAGTTGGCCGTCCCCTAGGCTTTATAAACATGTGTCTTTGTCTCGTCCAAACACTAACCGATATCATGCCCACATATAAGGTCAACAATTCGTTGTAAGGACGCACTGGTCTGCGTATTGGTCAAAGATTGCGGAATGATAAGCTTGTTTTGAAAACATGTCGCCCTTAATAAAATATAGTAATTTTGAAGCTTAGCTATAACTATCATTTGTTCGAAATCCATGCTTTGAGTAAAATGAAAAAAACCAAAAGTTGCGTAATTAGAATTTGATTCTGCAATTGTTGAATTCAATGCATTTCGCCGGAATGACCGAATTTTAGAGAAGCAGAATGTCTTCAAAAGACAAGAAACGGTTGGTCGGTTCGAAAAACAAGTGCACCACTATTTAACTGTCACTGATTTGCAAGCAACTTGATGTTTGTGAGAATGTAAATGAATTTAACGTTAACATTTGCAAAGGCTATCGGCAATGCAGGTAATTGACTTTATATTGTGATCATATAATTACCAGTCTAACCTCATATACGCAATAGGTCATATTTTGCAATGAGATGCAACGTCCAGTCTATGTCAGAGCAGTGCTTATGATGTATTGGTGCTTAGGTCATATTTTTTCTTGCTTTGAGATGCCAATGTAAGAAACTATCCCGAGAGTTTATTAGTCTACAAACTGGCTGTTGCCTACCCACATGACCTCTACATAGTCACAAAATTATTTTACCGTTCTTTTAGTTACATTTCGTCCATTTCGTCCTTATATCTGCGTAAAGTAAAAGTTTCAGACGACAGCAACATTACATAAAGACCAGAAAATACTAAAGTTGGTGAAATTTTTTTTCTTTGATGAGAATGCATGTCGTTATAGCATTTAAGAAAAAACTTGTATACATTCATATCGATGATTTTACAGTCTGTATTAATATTGCCAAAAACAACACAGGCGTTCTGATTCCTGATGTGTCGTATACACGTATACTACCATGTTTATAACAAGCTTTCAAAAATGTTTTCAAAATTTCTGCCATTTCTACACATCCAAACCTTCCTAAGATTTATTTTTATCCTTATCGAAACACATTAGAGGCTAAGCCAGAAAGGTGAGAAAGTATTTCATATTAACTTTCTTACTCACTCAGTGTGACTCACAATTTTTTTCCGTGTGTGTGTGTTTAATTAACACAAATGAATGACCATTGCATTTTGACTATTGTGTTTCGCTTTCATCAGGCAATAAAAGAAGATCATGGCCGTATCATTTGACAGCAATGTGCTGAAGTGCATTGTTGATGTTCCTTCATTTCCATTCCATTTCTTCCATCCTCACATCCTTATCACATCATTCTCCTTGTCTCATTTCTTCCCTAAAACATCTTACTCACACTCCTCTCCCTTACTCATTCCAATATCTATTTAAATTTTCCTTACTCAATCATTTCTTTTCATCTCTCCATTCTTTCCTTTTTATCTCACAATCGTCCACACCTTCATCTATTTCTCCTAATCCACTCCACCTCCCTTCATTCCACATCATGCCTCCCTCATTCCTCCATGCCTCTTTCATTCCTCAGCCTCCCTCATTCAAAACATCCTTCAGTTCATGTGCGCAATCATTCATCACTTGATCTGGTTCATGCGCATCACTCGTTCATGTCTTCACCATGTTTTCTGCATCCGTACATCATCTTCATCGTGCATCATTCATCTAGCATCTTCACTTTATCGCATCATGTTCATCGTGCGCTCATCGTTCACGCATCGTGCATACTTCATCGCATCATCTTCATCGTTCATCATTGTAATACCATATTATCCGAGATTGTGTTCATCATCCTCTTTCATCTACTTTTCATGTACATCACATTTCATCATGCATCGCATCTTTTATCATCGTTATCATTGCTCATCGTTTCATCATCATCGTTCATCTCATCAGTTTTCAAATCATACATGCTTTTCTGCATCGTAATCCTCTTTCCATTTCGCATCATGTTCATCTACATCATGTTCATGGTCATCGTTCATGTGCATCTTCCATTACATCATCGTTCCATTGCGCATCCTCGTTCATCATATCCTGTTTCATTGCATCATCTTCATCCATCCCTCGTTCATCATTACATCATGTTCATCATCATCTTCACATCATTCCATCCTCTTTCATCTCATCACTCCATCATCTCATCTTCATCACATCATGTTCCATCGTACATCCCATGTTCATCGATCATCTTCCATCATTCCTATCTTCATCACATCCATCGTTCATCTAGATTCTTTCATCCGTCATAAATAAATTCATCTTCAATCCTCATGTTCATCTATCATGTTCATTACATCACATCGTTCCATCATCATCACTTCCATTACATTTTCACATCAGCATCCTCCTTTATTACATCATCTTCATCATGCCATCATCTTTCATCGATCATTTTCATCATGATCCTCGTTCATCGATTTATCATGTCCATCATCCTGTTTCATCATGCATCTTTGTTCATCTGCATCACACTCTTCCATCATGCATCATCCTTCATCTACATCATCTTTCCATCGTACCTTCATTTCACTCATCACTATTCATCCCATCATGTTCACCATGCATCACTCGTTTCATCATCATCATCTTCATACTCCTTTTTCATTTACCTCCTCATTCACTCGCTCCCTCATTCTCCACACTCCCTCCATTCACTCATACACTCCCTCATTCACTCATACACTCCCTCATTCCTCCAAACACTCTCATTCCTCCACCTCAAAGCATTATAAAATCATTGCATGTCATTTATAATGCATGTTGTCATTCATTTTCTTGAAGTTATGAATCCTCCCTCTCTCCTTCAATTTCTTCCTTTATTCTTTCTTTTGTTCAATAACAAACTCCAACTTTCTTTAGCATAATCCCTTGTTCACTCACCCACTTTTCTCTTCCTCTCTTCTTATTCCTTTGTTAACTTTTACATTTCATTGATCATTCAAAAGTTTGATCTCGGGCAAATTTTGATCGTACCACGAAAAAAATCTGTCGAATTCCGAACCATTATGAATAGACTGTGTTGCATGTTGGGCATGCAGTCTTCCATAATCACGTGAATTTCGTTTGTTTTTCATAGTGGGATATACACTTGGTTAACGTTGTAGATTATAAATTATACAGATGGACTAAATATAGTTACTACACGATTTTCTATAAAGATACTGCCCTTGTTCATAATATAATGCAGTGTTGACTCATGATACTCAATTTCTTGAAGTTATGAATCCTCACTCCCTCCTTCATTCCCTTGTTCAATAACAAACTCCCACTTTCTTTAACATAGTCCCTTGTTGATTCACAAAATTTTTTCTTCCTCTCTTCTCATTCCTTTGTTCATTTACACATTCCCGTGATCATTCATTTGCTAACTCACTACGTCCGAAACCTTAAAACAATAGTTTGTTTTTCTCAGTTCTCACTTTCTCAAGAAAAATCTTCTATTTTCAGCATTTTTCGACAGTATGAACATCTCCTTGAATATTTGACGTCATTTAAACTAAAGACGAAAAGTATGTTTTGAAAACTCACTACATCACAAAATCTAAAGTGTTATGGGTCATGATTGAACTGGTATGAATGAAATGATTAGTTATTAAAGAGCTTTTGTTTATTTTTTGTAGTTGACTCTTTGATTAGGGAAGACTTTGAATGACAAATCTATCTTCAGCCCAATACTGAATGAAAATGAAATTGCATCTTACATACCCATATAAGTACTTTTTGGAATGAGCCTTGACAATATTTTAATCCATGTTTATTCAATTACCTCCACTCCAGTGGCGTAGCTGGCCTGAAGCCTCGTAACCAGGCGCTTGGCTTGTTTTGCTTTGAGGTATTTCAT